ATTAAACTTTTTATAAGAATCGATTTAAAAATTAAATAAAAAATAAAGTTTACTTTACTGTACGCCTATTGTTCTAATAAGATTACTCTCCGATTACCACAGATGTGCTAATGTGGGGGGGAAATAAATCCGGTATAGTTTCTTTTTTGTAAGTTTTAGATGTCTTTATTGATTGGCTGATTTTTTCATGTTCAACGAATATCTACTACTTATTTAATCGAAATTTTTTTTTTTTTTATATTTTCAATTTGCTGATTTTGGGGTAAAGCTATAAACATACGACATTACAAAAACTAAATAACGTACATAACTTATACGTAGCGAAACTGGTCTCACCAAAAAAAAAAAAAAGAGTGACAAATAACTTGACTACAAAGGATACAAAGGCGGGCAAGCCTCTTACTTCTACGGACAATAAAAAAAAAAAAAAAAACAAATATCTAATATATCTAGTAACCGAAAATCTCTCCTTCAAAATTATTTTTATACTTTACCTTTTCGTCGTTCTCACGGGCAATTTTTTTTTTGCTGCATTTTCTTTTAAATCAAATATCGGCAAAAAAAATAAAAAAAAAAACCTTTTAATTTTACTTTAATAATAAAAGAGACTTGCAAATGAACTAAGTCAAGAATTTTTTTTTTTTTTTTTACGTAGTATATATTTCCCATTCTCGTCAAACAATAGGAAATCCCTATACTGCCTGTCTCGTACAGGCAAAAAAAAACCCAAGGACAAGTTATCATCTGAACCAGCGGTTTTTCTTTTTTTAAACAAGTTACTTTTGACCCAGAAACTTTAAAAACCGAAACAATTTACAACAAACGCCTTTTTTAAATAACATTAAATATATTCGCTCTGAAATTAATAAGGAGCATAAGTTAAAAAGAGTAGTAGTAAAGTAAAAAAAAATAAAAATAAAAAATTTACTTACTACTTAACTCTCTTTTAATTTAATATATTAGACTTTCACGACGCATAAGTGCATAGTAGTTAAAAAAAAAAGTTTAAATAGAGCTACTTCCCCACAAACCTGCCAAATTCACTCCTAACAAAGGATTCAAACAAAAAAAAAGATTTTCATCTTTTTTTTTTTTTCTTCCTTACTTTTTTTTTTCTTATTTATAAAATAATAAATATTCTTTTTTTTTTTTTTTTTTATTTAAAATAAACACTTTTATCGTGTTTTCAAATTATTTTTTGTATTTTTAACGACCACACAAAAGAAAAAAAATATAACAAAAGATCATGACTGATTTTCTTAAGGCAAAGTTTGTGGAGTTGAGTAACATCGCAAAGATTAATAAGTACTTGCCAACTCCTCCTTTATCGCCTGAGCCTCATTCGCCTGAGCTTAATCCTAAGGTTTCAATGCCTTTCAATGGTTTATCAACAAAGCAACATCAACATCGTTCAGAACTTGGTCAAGAAACGCCTAGGTCCGCTTCCCCAAGTTCTGATCCAAGTAGTGCTTTTGATAATGTTACTCAAACTCCTGTTACTGGTCGTCTCTCTGTTACTATCGTTGAAGGTCGAAAGTTAAATGTTAGTAACTTTCAAGCTCGTCCTTATTGTGTGGTAGAGTTCGAACGTAACGAATTTGTTACTAGAGAAGCTATTCGTGATTGTGATCTTCCTTCTTCACGTAATGGCAAAATTGAATTTTTGGACTTGGTTCGTGCTGCTACAAGTCCTGTTTGGAAACAGAAAGCTGTTTTGTAAGTATTTTAATTCTTATATATAATTATATGACTTATATAATTATGATATATCAATATAATATTATAATTATGATTATGATTTATCAATATGATATTATAATCATGATATATCGTTATGATATTATAATAATGATATTATAATGATGATATTATAATTGATATTATAATTGATATTATAATTATGACATTATAATTATGACATATAATTATGATATTATAATTGATATTATTAATTCAATCTTTAATTCATTTAATTAATATCCTTATTTTCTTTTTACTTAGTGACGTTGCACGTCTGGATGGCGAAGTTCACGTGTTAGTTTATGAACGTGTTCCTGATCATAACAGACCCGAGGTCTTTTTGGGTATGTTGAAAATTCAACCCCCCAGAAGTCCCAATGAAACTGTTGATGGATGGTTCAAGTATGTAATTTAATAATTAAAAATAATCATAATAATAATAATAATAGTAATAATAGTAATAATATTAATATTAATTGAATAATAACATTAATTATTATTATGATTATTATTATTATTATTATTGTTGTTATTGCTGTTATATGTTGGTGTCGAATATCTGATATTGATTATATTATATTTCTATTTTTTTTTTTT